TTATGAAAGGCAGGTCCTGCTTGACGAACCTGATCTCCTTCTATGACAACGTGACGCACTGGGTGGATGAGGGAAAGGCTGTGGATGTGGTCTACCTTGACTTCAGCAAGGCTTTTGACACCGTCTCCCACAGCATTCTCCTCAAGAAACTGGCTGCTCTTGGCTTGGACTGGCGCACGCTTCGTTGGATTAGAAACTGGCTGGATAGCTGGGCCCAAAGATTCGTGGTAAATGGAGTCAAGTCCAGTTGGAGGCCAGTCACTAGTGGCGTTCCCCAGGGCTTGGTGCTGGGGCCGGTCCTCTTTAATATCTTCATCGATGATCTGGACGAGGGCATTGAGTGCACCCTCAGTAAGTTTGCAGATGACACCAAGCTAGGTGCGTGTGTCGATCTGCTCGAGGGTATGAAAGCTCTGCAGGAGGATCTGGATAGGCTGCACCGATGGGCTGAGGTCAACTGCATGAAGTTCAACAAGGCCAAGTGCTGGGTCCTGCACCTGGGGCGCAATAACCCCAAGCAGAGCTACAGGCTGGGAGATGAGTGGTTGGAGAGCTGTCAGGCAGAGAAGGATCTGGGAGTGATGGTGGACAGTCGGCTGAATATGAGCCAGCAGTGTGCTCAGGTGGCCAAGAAGGCCAACGGCATCCTGGCTTGTATCAGAAACAGCGTGACCAGCAGGGCTAGGGAGGTGATCGTCCCCCTGTACTCGGCTCTGGTGAGGCCGCACCTCGAGTACTGTGTTCAGTTTTGGGCCCCTCGCTACAAGAAGGACATCGAGGTGCTTGAGCGAGTCCAGAGAAGGGCGACGAAGCTGGTGAGGGGCTTGGAGAACAAGTCCTACGAGGAGCGGCTGAAGGAGCTGGGCTTGTTCAGCCTGGAGAAGAGGAGGCTCAGGGGCGACCTTATTGCTCTCTACAGGTACCTCAAAGGAGGCTGTAGTGAGGTGGGGGTTGGCCTGTTCTCCCACGTGCCTGGTGACAGCACGAGGGGGAATGGGCTTAAGTTGCGCCAGGGGAGTTTTAGGTTAGATGTTAGGAAGAACTTCTTTACTGAAAGGGTTGTTAGGCACTGGAACAGGCTGCCCAGGGAGGTGGTGGAGTCACCATCCCTGAAAGTCTTTAAAAGACGTTTAGATGTAGAGCTTAGGGATATGGTTTAGTGGGGACTGTTAGTGTTAGGTTAGACGTTGGACTCGATGATCTTGAGGTCTCTTCCAACCTAGAAACTCTGTGATTCTGTGATTCTGTAACATATTTCTGGAGACTATTGACTTAATCAGAGAGGTTAAACTCAAGCTGAGAATTCCCAGTCTAACGGTTTCACCACATTCTTCCCCTGTGCAGCCATCTTAAGTGGGAATGTTTTGTGTCTCTCTGCCTAGTCTTGCATAAATTCTGCCTTGCCATTTTTCAGCTGCCTCTTGTAATATCCCACAGACACATGTTCAAATCCGTTTATATTTTTCATATATTCACCGCAGCCCTTTCTGCCATTTTTACTGCAAGCATTTCATATGGGATAGGGTTTTCACTTTTTCTTTTGTTTTCGCTGAAGGTGCAAGTAAAAATTACTGTATTTCTCTAGGCTCTTCCTACAGCCAAAGGAGAGAGACTGACACTTTTAGGGAGATTTATTCACAAATGTTTGAATAACTTGTACAAATTAGATTGCTAACTAGGTTAAATAAGTAGTTCATATTAAATGGCTAGTTAGATGAATTAAATTAAGGATTATACTACTGTGCACTCTTTATTCAAAGTCCATTCTTACAAAACTAATTCAATCTATTCAATAGAGGTGAAAATCAGGCTATCCACATATCTTCTGCAAGTCCCAGCATTACTTAATTCCAGAAACCCCCCTTCATTTTTAGCCTCCTGTTTAAACTTATAGCTGAAAAGCTTTGCAGCCTGAGACATACCTACACCAACTCTGAAGCCTTAAAATAATAAACAAAGGTGCTATTCTTTCATGGGAATTCATGCCTTGAGAAACCCATGGATATGAGTGTGCGTTATTTCTACCAGTATAATTTAAAATAAAGAACTTTTTCAAGAGATTTGAGACTCAACATATATCCATCAAAGTCCATAAAAGTAATAAAACATTCAGTGCAACCAACTTAAATGGATTAAAAAAATGAGATGCAATTACTATTGCCCAAAGTATAAACATCATTGAAGTGTGTCAAATCAGGTAAATTGCTGACATAACTTAAAGTTTAATACAGGTCATTTAAAGTCTCTGCCTCATAGGTAAAGGCTGCACATGAGAGCACACACTGTAATGCTATCTTTCCAAAAATAAAGAAAAGTTTTGAGGCAAGTGAAGTTATTTCCCATTTTAAATCTGCAATTAAATTTAAATCATTTGGTAAATCGTTTCAAATAAGGCCTACATCTATACACATATAAAACAAGTTCCAATTCAAGTCATATGTTGCTTGTAATGCATCTTGAAATGCATCATATCCCCAAATGAAGTCTGCTATTAACGCATTATTGAAAGGTGTTCATTTTCATGTCATCTCCCAGGAAAAAAAAAGTTACATTAATGTGTTTGACACCTCTGCCAAAATCCCCTTTTACCTGAACACAATTTCAGAAAATTTTAACTAAAATTACTTCCTATAAGAGGTGGACATCATCCCTACTTTTCCCAATTTCCTTTTAAAAATCTTAAAAAGAGAAAAGAACCTCAAAAAACTGTTGGATGATAAAATCATTAGTAAAACCTACTCGCAAAGCAGAGGACAGAAAACACCTAGACCTCTACGGGGTATGTGAAATAGTTTGCAGTGTTTCAGTTTCATCAATCTATGAGGTACTGTAATTACTAAATTCTAACAAGAAAATATATGAAATACAAAAAAATTCTGATGATTCAGTCACAGAAGTTCAGGCTCAATTGATTTACTGAGACAGTCTTAACTATCTAGAACCAAGATATACTGTGAGGACATTTATGAGATTTTTGGCTTGCTTTGTTTTTAAGCCTATCTTATCTCCAGTGACCACACAGTTTATAGTGTTATTTCATTCAGAAGTAAAACAAGGCTTGTCGTCAGAATTATTTGGATTATACAGAAATAAAGGTTAATTAAAGAAAATTATCATAACCAGGACCTTATACCTTACACCAGGACCTTACACTGATTGGAAACTACTATCTTTCAACATCCTATATCTTGACAGATTTTTTTTCCTTAAAACCTGGAACAATCTCATACTATTTGTATAAAACATCATAATCATTTGTAACATAAGTAACATATTAGACAAAACTAATGGAGTTCATTCTCTGCCATTATATAGTATTTCTCGTATGAAGCTATTTTTCTAATCATTCTAATGTTACTTTTTTGTTTAGTTTCCCCCAAAAGATTAACAACAAGCAAGCCCAATACAAATAATTATCTCCTGCACACCAACTGGCAGTTACAGATCATTTAAGTTCAATTGCTTTATGTAAAATATTGAAGCTAAACTGCCTTCTTATGCAGGAAACAGGAACAAGAGCATGGATACATGTCAGAAGCCAACTGGTTCTCCACTAGAACTACACAATCCCAGCAACCCATCATTGAGCGCATTGTAAATTGAGCTCTTTTTACTACTGTTCATCTGCCAGCACTGAGATTGTACTGTCTTGAATAATACTTGTCTAATAAAGACTTAGGAAATCAAACTAGTGGAGAGCCACTAGCATTCATCACTATTGTCAGCAGCATGACAGGTACTACAAACCCTGCAAAACAGATTTGCACAGCTGAAGATTTAAAATATGCAGTCTCCAGTACTCAAAAGCTAGACTGAAATCTGCCAGTGTTGCTAGCATTTTTATCGTTGTTCTCATTACGCTTACTTTAATGTTTTATATACATATATGCACATATATAGATGTTTGCTGGCCGGCCTTTTAAACAGAAGTCTCTTTTAAACAGAATCCCACGATTTCACCTGTATCTTCCAAATGTACAGACAGACAGTAAGACACAGCACACATGGATAATGAGAATCTCAGAAATATTGATTTCCTGCTTCCATGAGAATGATGAGCTTAAGCTAACTCCTTTTTTCTCCTAACACTTTGTTGGCCAGAAATCTGAGGCATCCTGTGAGACTCCCATTTACCAGAAATAATATAATTCTCTGAATAGAAAATATTTGCACATTATTTCACAGATGTTTGTGTTTTCTTGAAAAGGATACACACACTAAAAATAAAGTGAAAAAGCTATAACAAAAAGCAATCTAAATAGTATTGTGTGCTCCAAGTCTATTAAGGTTTTATTTGGTTGGTTGGTGTTTTTTTTCCCTTAAAAAATAAAAAAAATAAAAAACTGACAACCTTTTTAACCCTGGATTTATGGATTTACACATTCCATTAAGTGTAACAACCATCTCAATCTCATATTCTATTACACGTGCTTTTATGATCTGATTTTGTGGTTAGATAGCAAACTAATGCACTGGCCTGGTTTAAAGACCAAATTCACAATTTTTAAATAAATTAGAAATTAAATTGCATTAGAAAGGATTCACCACAGATTAGTATCAGGCAACCTTGTACAGACCCTTCAAAATACATCAGTAGCTTCACTCTTCACAGTAGAAATACACTGTAGAAAAGTATCACGCAGAGCAAGCAAAACTCAGTAAACGTAAAAAAACAAACAAAAAAAAAGGAATGAAATCACAACAATCAAGTCATTAGGGCTCAGCCCACCTTCCTCCGCCCTAAAGTTGAAGACAAAGAGAATTAGACAAAACTACGCTCTTAAAATGCACTCAAAGGTACTTGTTCAATTGTAGAATGAGATCTGGTGTGTTACCAAAATATATATATCAAATAGACTGACATTTAAAGGCTTTAAAATTATTTCACTATTCTTAAACAAATTATCCTCTACATAGGCTTGCAACAAACACATCATCCGTTTGACACACATAATTAACTAAACATTTATATTGCATTTTATGATTAGAAGATACCATACCTCTGTCTGAAGTATGGCAGCTCTCTGTTCTTTGGCAGTAAGTGACTCTTTAAGCACTTCAATGTGTTGCTTGCAATCTGAATTCTGATTGCTAAGGGTTTCAAGCTTAGTTTGTAAGGCAAGAAGTTCCGATTCTTTTTTTGAGAGTTCTTGCTTCAGTTGGTCAATCTGTAATGGGGCAAATAAAAGGTTAGATCATTAACGGCATTTTCAATTCATAGTTGGACCTGAAACCCGAATGGTGAGAATGACCAGAATATAATACAACTCAGACACCTCCTGTAAATTCTAGAAGAGAATTAAGATATGAACTTTTAACAGTCAAAACTTCCAGTGAGTTTCATGTATTTTCAAGGAACCTGTTTTTGATTGTCCTGCTCTTGTCAAAGTTAAAAAGGGAAACTCTGAAAGCTTAAACATGATGATTTGGCCTATAAATTCACACAGAATCACAGAATCACAGAATCACAGAATTTCTAGGTTGGAAGAGACCTCAGGATCATCGAGTCCAACGTCTAACCTAACACTAACAGTCCCCACTAAACCATATCCCTAAGCTCTACATCTAAACGTCTTTTAAAGACTTTCAGGGATGGTGACTCCACCACCTCCCTGGGCAGCCTGTTCCAGTGCCTAACAACCCTTTCAGTAAAGAAGTTCTTCCTAACATCTAACCTAAAACTCCCCTGGCGCAACTTAAGCCCATTCCCCCTCGTGCTGTCACCAGGCACGTGGGAGAACAGGCCAACCCCCACCTCACTACAGCCTCCTTTAAGGTATCTGCAGAGAGCGATAAGGTCGCCCCTAAGCCTCCTCTTCTATCTGTAGAGAGCCTCTCCCACTATCCCCACCTCCATTTTTAACTCTCTGGCATGGAATCCTCAGGCACTAGGAAAGTCAAGCCAAAGAGATTAGCTTAAGAGAGGTCTGGGGAAAATGTGGAAAAAGAGTTCCACAGAGTGAAAGGTCTATGGTATTTTTAAAAGCATATCCCTAGGGGAAATAGCAGAAACCCATTCACTAAGAAGGAGCTTCTGAATTCTGCAGGAGGTTCATCAGTAAATGACATGGAATTGTGATTATTCTTCCCTTTCTACAATGCTGAGTGTAAAGGGTGGCCACAGAATGTGAAAGTGTGGTGGATTTAGAAAATGAAATCCAAGCAAAGCACTGGACAATATACAGAGCAATGCTAAAGGATGGCGAATTAGGTGACATGTAACTATTCTTTTTAAAGTTCTGTGAAATAACACTGGTCACCAGAAGAGTTCAGATGTGTCATCTCATGAGGATTATTTGAAATAAAACTCCTCAGTGCATCTGCATAATTCAGAGAAGCCACATTTACTTGGAAAGTTTTTTTGTTGACTGTAAGGCCTAGACAGCTTTCTTTAAAATTCAAGTTTCAGTTCTGCAATTACCAAAGAAATCATAGACCAGCTTTTTCCATTCTCTTCCTTCATTTCCATCCCAACAGACATTGAGATGCGTAAGTCTAGAAGGGCTAGATAGAAGGTTAATCAAAAGTCTGCAAGAAAAAAAGAATGAATATATATATTCATATGTAATTATGTATATCCACAGGTTGATCCTACTCAACCACATCCTAAATATCCACATGCTAAAATATTTCACAGATTCCATACTGTATAGCAGAGTCACCAGAAATATATTTCTGGTGAGCAAACTATTTCTAGTTTGTTCAAAATTGCATTTTTCTACATTGTGTTTCCTTAAAAATTCACTAAATTATTTCTTTCAATGATGTGCAAAACAATACATGTATTCCTTATTTCCCTCTGTAAGTCTCAGTATGTCTGCCTACCTGGTTAACATATTTGGCCAACCACCCCTGAGCTACCATATAAAATCAAGAATCTATACTAGCACTATAAGCAATCACCTTCACAATCTGAAAATATTAAAATAAGAAAAGGAGCATACAAAAAAAAAAAAAAAAGTAAAGAAAATGTAAAAAGTGCTGTTAAGAAACTGCTAGAGAAGAACTTCTCTTGAAAGCAAACCACCTTCTTCCATTCCTTGCCAGAACATGTAAGCAGGTATGGAAACTGAGACAGAAACATATATGAAATGAACAATGGGAAAATTTGTCTACGATATATAAAGACAAAAATTAGATCTGCAACCAATCTGAATTACATCACATGCTTGATATGAGACCCATGTCAACATCGCAGAAAATTCTAAAAACTCTTCTCACTTTTTTCCATGACACAACCCACACCCTGAGAAAGAAACAACATCCCGCCCCCTCCTCCACCTACCCCACGCCCTCTCTCCCCCAAAAAAGAAGGTTGATTTTCACTGCAGGTATTTTCTTTGTGTTTCAGAAATAGAATCTGTTCCTTCGTTCTGACTACACCACATACAAATTGCCAGAAGTTTAAAAATGTGTTATAGCTCTCAAAAAATAGAATCTGTTCAATAATTATGCTTTTGGCTGGTGTTTTATTAAAATAAAGTATAAGGATGAAAATGTAATGAAACTTCAATTTAAAAAAATAAAGTATCAAAAATAACAAAGGCATAACAAAAAAACATGTTACTTTTAAAAATAAATTTTTTACTCCTGGGTAAATTTGCTTTCTAAAAGTTCTGAATAAGCTATTAGTGTGTAAAAAAATGCAACAGGGCCTGAAATAATGTTGTCTCAAACAGATGTACATACATTTTCACTTTGCTATATTTTAAGCGGTGCAGAAGACCAAGAGTCATGACCTTGGGACCTCAGTACAAAAAAAGAAAAAAAAAAAAAAGCAAGAACATTTTTGTACTTTATTAAGACTACAATGAAGATAACATAAAACTCTAAGTGCTATGGCATTCATAGAACTCTCTCCCCTGATTATGACCTTCCCATTTCATGCATGTAATTTGCCTGTCACCGCTTTTTCAACATTGCCCAAAATGATCTTGTTTCATCTCCTTAGCGAAAACCCCAGTTCCTTTGTCTTCTCAATGATTATCACTTCCTTCAATTTCAGTTCCTCGTATACTAGCATTTCAAGAAAACAATAATGATATTCCTTACATTATTATTTTTACATACAAAAATCTTACCTGACATTACAGGGAGAAAGAAAACACATGCAAAATAAATAAATAAATAAATAAAATCTGAACTTTTTCCCTGAATACTGCATAAGTTAAAAATAACGGGCTAAAAATTTAAGTCAATAATTCCATTAAATGAAACTATGCTGATTTATCTATCATAATAACTTAGTCTTATAGGACAAGTGATAACTGGTTTTTCAATTGAAGAAATTAAGTGAAGGAAGAACAGCAATGCAAGTGAGTTTGCTGCACTGAGTAGACTAAAAGTCTATCTGTAGGTTCTACAGTCTATACTGCGCTTTTTTCTTTTTCTTTTTTTTTTTTTAAAGGTTTTATAACATATCCAGACCTATCCACAAGAAATGCTGTTTTTTTCTTGTATATTCTTTTACAGGATCACCTAGAATTTGCATGCTTCCTTCAAATAGTGTAAAGATCTGTTACTCATGGATGTTAATTACAGAGAGCATTGTTATAGTTCACTTCAACTTAATCAATTCTTAAAATTCAACTTAACTCTGATTTGCTGAAGTGATACTGAATGATCACTATGTTTTCACACTCATTCTTGTAGATAACATGAAGGCTCTAATACTCAAAAGACTACTTGAATTCTAGAGTGAAAACTCTCACCTGTAAAATGCAGCAGTATTCTTTCAAGTATCTGGCTACTAACCAAAGAACAAAACCCAAACAGGGGAAGGAACATTGCAAAGCAGAAGTTAATTTTTTTTAAATGCATATCAATCCACATGCTTTCTTCAAGTTCTGATTAAGGATATTTGAAGTTTCATATCTCTTAGTCATGAAAAATTTAAGACTTGTTTTGACAACTTCCATATCACGTGAGCGATAACAATTTTTGTACTTTCAAATGGAGACCAAGGAGAGATACCATGAAGTTTTCTCATTTCTATAATTCTCCATTTCACAGCAAGTCAAAATTAAAGGCTATATGATTGTTAGCAGTGAATATTATTAAAAATTAAAAAAGGAACTCTTTCCAACATTCTCTGCATGCATGTGCAATAAATAATATTCTAAGTTGGCCTCCATTTAATGCCTTCCCTTTTACTTAAATCAAGAACAGATATATTTCAAGAATAAACATGAAGTATTAAGAGCTTTATAGCACCTAAGCTTGTTAACTGTGAGAAGAGTATTATTCTATTCTTTGCCATCAATCAGGACTTAAGTATCATAATTTATCAACAATCTCTGGTTCAACAGATCAAGTACAGTTAAGGCCAGTTTGCTGACAGCTACATAAATATTTTTCCACATTGGTGGAAAAGGTTCTGAGATAAAAATAGTATCTTCTGCTACAAATCTTAATTTTAAGCAGAAAGAAAGGACTGGTGAAAGAAAACAGACAACATTTCATCAGAATGTGATATTTACCAAAAATCAGAAGTATTGTGAAAAAACAATGGCATGTTTAATAGTCTTCTAATTCATCTGCTTTCTGTATCATAGAAATACAATGAACCTCTTCCTCTCAAACACCTTAGAATATAGTTACCATAATATTAGGCTTTACACAATATTTTTAAGCAATAGATTTGGCTTTAGGGTATTAGTTTTGTTGTAAATTACTATAACTGGATTGCTTAAAATTTAACCATGTTTAAATGGGCAAAACAATTTTCTTGACAATAATACCTCTTAAGAGCAAGTATCTTGTCAAGAAGAAGGGTCTACTACACACACAATAAAAACCTATGAAAATAAGAGAAGTCAAATTCTCTGGAAGGTGCTGTCTGTTTCATTCTCTGACCATAGACAAGCTGCATACTTTCCCAGAATGTTAGCCTGCCCAACTCTAAAAGGTTGACAATGCTATTTATCTACCTGATATTGCAAACTTTGTACTTTAACTGCAATATTGCTGAGTATCATTAATGTCAAGAGAAAGTGGTAGAAGCCACTTATCTCCTCCTCTTTTGCTTACATGACCACTAGAGAGGTAACACCAGCTCCTTCTCCAATTTTTCAGAGCTGCAAGTATACATTTCAGAAAAAAATGGATCAATCCATTTCAAGTCCCTAGAAAAAAAAAAAAAAAAAGTCCCATACAAAAAAAAAAAAGTCTAAATATTATACAAAATTAAAGAAAAAAAAAAGTAACTAGGATGGAAAGACTTAAGTGTGAGATTCATTAATAATCTTGACTACTAAAGGTTTTTGCCCAGATTTTATTCTTCCATTATGGTCACATTTTAATATTACTGCAAAAAGTGAGATAGCTGTTTTTTCCACTTCATGCTGTTGCTGCATTTTGCTCCCCATGTTAGTTTATCTTACAAGTTAAAAAAAATATATATTTCCAAAACCTGAATTTTAAATGAGAATGGTAGCATCAGCTTCAGTCTCTGTATTTTTTTATTTCATTTTATATTTTAAACAAGTACCTAAAGTTATTAATTTATAATTTCATGAACAAAATGTTCAAGGTGAGTAGCTGGGAATAAACCACTACAAAAATGTAATATATAATGTAAATGTATATTTAATAGACTTTTAAGGTAATTAAAAAAAAAAAAATTAGAAAAGTAGTATTAGAACTCAAGAAAAGACTATTTGGAGAGAACTCATCTTTACCTAGAGAGCAATCAGGCAGGCTGAAATTAAAGGAGGTAAAAAAGTCCATCCAGAACAACAATTTAGGCATCAAGATTTACTTGTGATGAAGTTTAAAATAATGAACAAGAAGTTCTGCTTAGCAAGCCTGATACCAAGAAAATGTGTACTACACATTTATTATCTGCTTGCAGTCTACTTCGTTATCTATGTACAATGATTTGAAATGAAGAGGACACTGTCATTACAAAGTCATTAAATTGCAAGTCATTAAAATGCTAAAAACTTAAAATTTGGCATCAGCAGTCCTTACTGTAAAACTACTATGAAAACAAGAAAAGAAAAAGGCACAACTAAAACCATGCCAAAATGTTGCAAATCAAAATGATGAGATAATTCATTCAACATTAGAACACCGAACAGAAGAAAGAGAAAAGGGAACATTATATGAAGACTAAGGATTGCAGTTGTCTCCACGGAAGTATTGGAATATGCACTTTCTTACCTCTCTGAAGTTAAAATATAAATGAATTCTTATTTAATCAAAATGCTTCACTTCTCTATAGCTAGTGAGTACCACATAGCAGAGGTTTACCAATGACAGATATGCAGAGAGCTACTTCTGTTGAAAAAGGTCTAGTTAAAACTTTTGTTCACATTATTTAAACACCGTTAAGATATTAATAGACCTTACCTTATTTTTCATGAACTTTGAGTGACTCTTGTAAACTTCTATTTGTTTTATTTCTTCTTCTCGGTCTTCTGTATTCAGAACTCCATTTGTCTTTAACATCTGTATTTCATCTTCAAGATCTCTTATATTGCGCTCAAGTGAAGCTATTTTTGTATCCTGAATTATACAAAAAAGAGTATTGAAAAAGTATATGAAAGTTGTATATTAAGGCATAAAAATGTTTCTGTACCTGCAGAAACATCAAATAATAAGACAGCAAAAATAGGTAGTAAAAATACAGATAGCATATACACCATCATAAACCAAGAGTAATTCTATTGATATCGATTTAAAGAAACAGACTTTAACCAGCACCAAAAAAAAAAATGCAATGCTATGTTCTATAGCATTATATATATAGAACATTTTCTGGTCAAAATCCTCTCTATGTTCCTACATGGTTAGGAATGAAGGGAGAAGGAGAGATGCTCTATTTCCCATACATACATGATAACATACTTTGATTGCTCTCCTAACCACTTAGGTCTGGCTATTATTCCAAGCTCTTAATAACAAAGGATAAGTTCAGCCTAGAGAGACCAGTCCATCATCCCTTGAAGAAGACAAGCCACTTCATTATGTGACTGCCTAAGGCAGTTTCCAAGTTTGATCAGAGTTTATGCTTCTGTCTGCTGTCAGGGGAAAGAAAGGTTGTTTCCTCACATGCTTTTTCTCCAGCCACATCATTAAGAGGAGATTTAGCACTTTTTATTATGAGTTTCAAAAAAAATAAACAAACCCACAAATACACAACCACTCAAAACTTTTGTATCACAGACAATAGCTGCCATGTGTGCCAGCACAGCACTGACAATATCCAGTGTTTTTTTTTCCCCTTGTTGCCAGCCATTTTGAAATTGAATATATCTCTTCAGTGAGATTTAGAAAGATTTTTTTAAAAAACATGATTACACCAAGCAGAAGCAGAAGCAGAAGAAGACTGTGTCAGGGTTTACTTGCAAGAACTTAACCCATACAAATCCAGAAGACTTGAGAGATAGCATCCAATGGTTTTAAGACAACTGGCTGATGTCCTCACAAGGATGCTGTCTACCATCTTTGAAAAATCATGAAAACTGTGGGAAATTCCTGACAACAAGAGGAAGAAAAATGTTGCACAGGCTCATATCCTGAGAAGCATTCTTGGACAAGATTCATCATAAAGGAGAAGGTAATTGGGACAGTCAGTATGGATTTACCAAATGTAAATCATGCCTGACCAACCAAATTGCTGTTTTAGACAAAATTTTTAAGTTTGTGGATGTGGATGAAGAATTAATAGTGAATGCCATTTACATCAGCTTTAGCAAGGCATTGGACAGTTTCACAGAACATTCTTATATTCAGGTCAAGATGTTATGGTCTGGACAGGTGATCAAATAGCAAGATGAAAAAAAAAAGGTTGTATGATCAGGCTTAGAGGGTAATGTTCAATAGGTTCTATTCTACCTGGAAGCCAGTAACAAGAACACCATGGGGTCAAATTGGGACCTGTCCCATTAAGTATCTTTAACAGTGACCTGAAAGAGGTGACAAAGCACTTGCTCACAAGCCCTGTGGATGACACCAAGCTGGGAGACCAGTGAATATGCTCAATGGCAGGGCTGCCACCCAAAGGGATCTATAAAGAACCTATAAAGGTTGGATGGGTGGACAACCAGGAACCTTAGAAAATCAAACAAAAACAAATGCAAAGTCCTGTGCCTGGCAAGGAAGAACCCCTTGCAGCTATACTCGCCAGGGACTGACTGCCCTGGGAGCAGTTCTGCTGGAAAGGATTGGAGGATGCTGGTGGACACAGCAAGCCTAAGGAGCAAGCAATGTATGCTGGCAGCAAAGGCAGAAAGCAGTATCCTGGGCTGCATTAATATGAGCACAGACCCTAAGTAGATCAAGGAAAGACACATTTATTGGACTGTGCTTACAGTACTGCATCCAGTTTTATGCCATGCAGTACAAGACACTGATAAACTTGAGTAAGCTCAGCAGGGGGCCAAGGGGGCTGGAGTACTTGCCCTCAAAGAAGAGGCTGAGGAAACTGGGCTTGCTCAGCCTGGAGAAGAGAAGGCTTCAAGACAGGTGTAAAAACAGCCATCCAGTACAAGTATTACATTTTGAGAATAAGCATTTGAACAGTTTGCCCAGTGAAGTGTAGTCCATCCCTGGAGGTTTTCAAGATATGACATGATAAAACCCTGAGCATCTCTCTTCACCTGGGCTTTATACGGTCATGAGACAATTCTCAAATAGATATGAATTTCAAGGTGACAGAAAGAATTAATAACCAAATTAAAAAAAAAAAAAAAAGTGTTTAAAAAAATCTAATTCCATTTATGCATATATTAAAAAAAAAAAAAAGTAAATCCTACATCACAGAAAATATCAGAAAATCACTACACTATGGCTATAGCAAGCAAGCAGGAAAACACAAACCTCTTTTAAAATGGATGAAAATTAGCATCAGGGTGAAAGCATGTTTCTTCACTGAAAGACCAAATGTTCATTAAACAGTTTTGTTCCATCACACAATCAGAGCCACAGTAACAAGTTTCTACTGATAGAGGTATGGGTGTAACAGTCCAATCATACACAGAGAATGGCTCTAAAATAAGCAACAGGGTAAGCACTTACTTACAACCATATAAAGTGGTCAAGAAATTTTTTCACACATCAGAATCCTGATAAATATGCTTAGCCAGCTCCTTCCCAGATAATTCAGAAGTCCAGAGCACAAAATAACACTTTAAAAAAAATCAGTCATAAGATGATGTGTGTGTGGAATAATACTTGTCAAATTTTGCATACTGCTAACATTGAAGAAACAGGAAAATATACATCTAGCTTGCTGCTGAATTCAGTCACTTGCATCAGACTTTGATATACTACTTTTTACTAGCAGATATGTTTCTGAGTTGTAAAACTATGCATATACACCATGCATCCTGTATGAAAAGCTTAAGTGTGCTTTTAATCCAGACAAGAGCTCAGTTTATCTGAAAAGACTTAAAACTTTTTGAGACAAAGGAATTTCAAGTAGAAGTTGAGGAGAGCTATCTTCCATGACAGCAAAAATACTTCAGGTTTATAGAGATAAAAACAATGCACTTTGAAGGGGAAGATCAAACCCCTTCATCTATTTTTACAAGATTCCAACTGCATCCCTTTTTGGAAAAGGACCTACAGTCAAAAAAATAAAAAAATGTCAGAACACAAAGGAAGCAAAAATAATTGTTGGAATATAAAACCTACTGCTGCTTATCTTTTACCTCACTAGCTGTTTGTTTTCTGGAAAATAACTGATACTGAAAATGTCGATGATGATCTTAATCAGCAGTTCATATTTTTATTTCTTGGAGGACATGTTCAAAGAGAAAGTATTCTTACCAAAAATTATTTAAAAACACCAAGGAGCTGACCAGGGATGCAAGGAATAAATAAAAATAAATGAATAAAACACACAAAGGTCTGGAAGATTTCCAATCATTTTTAAAGTAATATGCATGTATCTAATGTAATAATGGTATTGTTTGTTTGCCTGAATGATAAATTTTCAAGTTCTTATTTTAACATACAGGCAAAATGCAACTTTAATTAGTAGGTTAAGCATTAATAACATTTCCAATAGGATTAGAACACAAACGTTTCCTAAAATGTTTATTAATATTTGTCCAAGCAATCAGTGTTACTTATGCCATAGAGCAAAGGCCATATGAGTAATCACACACACACACACACACACACACACAAAAAAAAAAAAAAAAGTAATCTCTCTATTGAAAGCAAACAGCTTTCACATGAGAGAAAACAGACTTTTCTTTTTTCACAGGATAACTGTTCTATTCACAGAACATTTTAGAAAAATTATAAAAAAGTAAAGTAAAATTTTAGGCTGGAAAGAAAATAAAATGCAAGAACACTTATTACACTTTATCATTTGGATAAACTGCATGAAAATAAAATTACTGAAAAAGAAAAAATTAAAAGCTATCAGGCTGAGGTAGAACAATAAATACAGTGATTACTGAAGCTCTCACAGACACTGCAATCAAGCCAGGTTCTGCCATCAGACATCTTTTTAGAAGCTTTCTATTTCTGCTACTGAAGATAAAAGCAAAATTGAAGTTTCATTGCCCTTTAGAATGACTTTGCCCTACCTAAATTAATACTTACTTACATGACTTGTTATGACATATCATCTGGGAGTAGTCTTCATCAAATCTCTCCAGATAAGTCTTTAAGAGTCCATTTTCTATTGTTTGATTTTTTTTCTTATACACCATATTTACATTTTACACATTTGCAAATATAATATGGCAGAAATCATTCAAAACACATTAGCCTGTTTCACTCTTTTGAAGGTTTATGCATCAGAGAATAACATCTAAGCTTTATGAAAAATATAAAACAAAGTAAATAAAATGCTTCCAAAATTTATCACAAGTTTGAGTTCTCAAAGGACATGTTTATTTTCAATCAGATCTCTGTGTACTGTGATTAGAGCTGTGTACACTAGTTTTCCTATCTCCAGAAAAAAAAAAAATGGCACTGTCAGTTCAGTATTAACTTCTTATTGGAACATAATCTAGAAATTGAGAGAAAAAAAAATGAAAACTAAAATCTGTTTTAGAATCAAAAATATCAGTGATAAGTCCGGAGAGGAGCCAGACTTCACCTTCAATGGCTGTTCAAGGTGTCAAAGGTACCAATTCCTACGTATGAACAATACAGGACTGATAATTCTGCAAATACACCAGACAGGCAGCTGGCTTGCCCAGCAAACCTGTAAGTTTCCTGTCTGGACAGCTACTAGAAGGCAAGGAAGGTGGTAGCTCAAACTTAATACAGACAGCCTGGAGCTCCCATTGGGTTCTGTGACGGGTGGATTTAGGTTGGCTTACAGGATAGGTGGAATGTCTCATAACTTTGCTTTCACTGAAAGTTTTGACAGAGTAGGCACATTCCCATAAACTCTTCTGATTCTGCTGAATCAGCATTTTCCCACAGAAAATTTCCGTTGGAAGCTTTTCAACCAGCTCTTGTTGTGGCACGGGGTCTGGCAATCCTTCAGAAACTGAAATAGGAACAGATCCTTTATTTCCTTCAAACCACTAAGACTT